CCCTCTGAAGCAAGGGGAGGGAGGAGGGAGGAGGAAGAGGAACTTGAGGGCCTAGAAGGCCAGGGAGGACACAGCCCAGCCCAGGTCCTTAGCTCAGCCCTGTGACAGCCCCCTGTAGGGACAAGGCCAAGTCCCTCTCCCTTCTTGGGCCAGCCCATCTCAGGACCAGCTTGGCCCCATGTCCCTGTGTTCCCCTTTTCTTCTTACTGAAGACCCTAGGCACCCATGGGCTTTCGGTTTTTCTAGCCACTCCCGGACTCTCCATCATTCCAAGCTCTCGTACTCAACCACAGTGGGTGCAGAACAGGATTCCTCAACACGACCCCTCCTTCCTGCATCTACAGAGATGCCCTGGGCCCTGCTGGGCCTGCCTGGCAGCAGAGTAGGTGCTTAATAAATACGCATGGACCGAAGGACGGATCTCAGTGCTCTTCCCCACAGGCAAGCGCCTGAAATATGCAAGAACTAATAAGGGGAAGTCATAGTGGTTTAGAAACTTACAAAACCCTTAGGTCATTGTCCCTGAGTGCTAGTTCCTGTCTCTTTTCTGAGAAGTTCCCTGGAGTCCCAAGGCCTCAAGTTTGCCTCTGTGATCCAGGGGGCACACACACCTACCCCTTCTTTTTCAATTCTACCTTCATGCTTCCCTTGGCTCCTGGATACGCAGGTGCTGCCCCACAGAGAGTCTGGCAAAAGGGAAACCGGTTAGTTGAGCGGCTCCTGCCTGCCACCACCTCCTGCTCGCCTGTGACCCAGGGCAAGACGCTCTGTCTCTGCAAGAGAGGGTACAGTTCTCAGTGGGGCTGTTTGGATGACTGGCCAGACTTCGAGTAAAACGGCTGGCACATAGTAGGTGCTTAATACTTGGTACCTGTTGCTTTATTATCATGAAAGAAACGATGCAGAAAACCAAGGCTTCCTTTTTAACATCTGCTTTCATGCTATACCTGATCTTTCTTATATTTATAGGATGCTTTAATATTTTATAAAGCACTTTCACATCCATTAGCTCATCTGATCCCCACACAATCCCCTTAGAAGGGACCAAGCCATTATTACATGATCACTATTCCCATTATACAGATAAAGGTACTCAAGCTCCAGAAAAGCACAAACAGGTCCTGCTTGCCATGGTGCTGTCAGCACCCGCCCGATACAGAGCCTGGCGTGGAGCAGGGGCTCCAGACAAAACAAAGCAAAACCCTTTGGAAGGAATGGCCCATACGGCATAATCCTATACGGGATGCCACTCAACCCTTTCCTTGTCCATAGAGTGGGGATAGGTGTTGGAGGATATACACAGGAAATTGAAATTCTAGAATTCCTCTTCATCGTAAGGGTTGGTCTTTAGAACAGGCAGCAAGGAAAGCGAGAACAAGGCTCCATCCTCCGTCGGCTTCCCTCCCAGGGGGTGATGAGAATCAGCCAGGAAACAGAGAGCAGAATTAAATTATGAGGACTGTATGAGCGCTCAGAGGGAAATCCCATTTTTCAGTCCCCAGTCCCGCTCCTGGCAGCAAGGAAGCGCGTCTACTAAGCCCTTTCCTCTCATCTGGGAGGAGCGACCCGCTGGTAGTTGGAGGAGAAAAACGAGGAGGTGCCTCTAACCAGGGAGATAGTTAAAGCTCCTTCCTAGTCAATCCGTAGACCAGAGCCTCAATGTCTTCACATCCTGGAACTTTGGTTTCTCCTGGTTTCTTCAGCTGGAAGTTGGATTGTAGAGAGGAGATGGGCCCATGGGCTGGGGGGTGGGGGGTGGGGTGGATAGTCGTGGGAAACAAATCCCAAAGGAAGTGGGAAGTCTTCTGGTGTAAAACCTGAAATTTCCTCAAATACTGACACCGTGGGGAAAGCCTTCTGCCGTGTTTGGAAGAGATGGAGTGACAATGTAAGGGGAAACCAAACTATGCACCATCCTTTTTCAGGTCAAAAATCATTTTGTGAATTTAGGGACCTAAAAATGTATCACATATAAGCCGATTTCACTGCAAACGATTGCAATCAGCATATTACATTTCAAAGTATAATCCTTGTTGTCAGGCAGTAATTATAAATTTGTGATTTACTTTTAATTTATTGCATTTTTAAAAATGTTTTTTTAATTTATTTTTGAGATAGAGACAGAGCATGAGCAGGGCAGGGGCAGAGAGAGGGAGACACAGAATCCAAAGCAGCCTCCAGGCTCCAAGCTGTCAGCACAGAGCCTGAGCAGGGCTTGAACTCGTAAACCGGGAGATCATGGCTGGAGTCGAAGTTGGACAGTTAATAACCCTAACCCAGGCGCCCCAGTTTATTGCATTTTTTTAAACATGGAGGTACAGCTGCTTAGTTTCCAGGAATCTCTGCAGCTTGCCTATTGAGGAGAAGCAGAAGTCACTCACACTGGACTTCAATAAAGCCTTGAACAGCGTGGGAGCTTAGGGTTTCTAAAGAGACACTGCACATCCTTTAAGAAATTTGCCAAGACTACGTAGGCGGAAAACTCCAACTCGCTGATGACAGCACTCGACCCTGGAAACTTATCTCATCACTGTAAGTGTATGTTTTATTTTCAGAGAATGTAAATCATGGGTTTTTTTCCCCCCTCAGAATAATTTACAGTGCTTTTAGGTTCTTGGAATTGGGCTCACTATATCACAGAAAGGGAAAACTGGAGAAACAATGATTAAAGCTGACATTTATTGGCGCACCTGGGTGGCTCAGTTGGTTAAGCATCCGACTCTTGGTTTCAGTTCAGGTCATGATTTCACAGTTTGTGAGTTCAAGACTCAAGCTGGGGGATTCTCTCTCTCTCTCTCTCTCTCTCTCCCCTCTCGCTCTGCCCCTCCCTGCTTGCTCTCTCTGTCTCTCTCTCTCAAAATAATAATAATAATAATAATAATAAACTTTAGGGGGGAAGCTGACATGTATTGAGCACCTACTATGTGGTAGCTAGCCACTATTCTAATGGCTTCACACTCATTTATTCATTTAATCCATTTAATCCTGATAACAGCCCCATGACATACGCACTATTATTATCCCCATTTTACAGATGAGAAAACCTAAGTTTAAGGAAGCAACACGACTGGCCTAAGGTCCCCTGGCCACTTAGTGGCAGAATCAGGATTTGAACGCAGGTAGAGAGCAAAGCGGTGGGTGGTTTGGTATGAAAATTAGGCTCCAGTCAGCCTGCCTTTCCTTCCGTTACCTCCTCCAAGTAAAATACAGCAAACTCCGCTTCTCCAGCCCCATCATCCCACGGCGCCACACAGCACCCTCTTCTTCCCAGATCCCACCACAATGGGTACATTTTCGTGACTTCAGTTGATAGAAGTTCCCCAATGATCCTAAAATACAGCTTTAGATTTTGAGCTCAGAGCAATTGTACAGTCCTTAAATCTTCATTTCATTTTTTTTTGTTTCTTTATGTTATTTATATTTTTAGTAATCTCTGCACCCACCGTGAGGCTCAAACTCACAACCCCGAGACCAAGAGTCGCATGCTCTTCCCACTGAACCAGCCAGGCGCTCCTAAATTTTCATTTTAAAATAATTCTTTCTCAGGAGAGAGGCAAACCATGAGAGACTCTTGAATGCTGACAAAAACTGAGGACTGATGGATGTGGGGGGGGGGGATGGGCATGGAGGAGGGCACTTTGNTCTTGAATGCTGACAAAAACTGAGGACTGATGGATGTGGGGGGGGGGGATGGGCATGGAGGAGGGCACTTTGGGGATGAGCACTGAGTGTTATGTGGAAACTAATTTGACAATAAACTATTTGTAAAAAAAAAATAATAATAATTCTTTCTCCAATTCCTTTATAGATGATGGGGTCACTGGGGCAAGAAATGGGCAAGTCCTGATCCCCTCCCAGCTCTGTATTTCTTAGGATGCTCCCAATGGTCTGCATGGGACCTTGTCAGGAAGCAGATCATGATTCTGGCCCTTTCCATGTGCATTGGCACTTACTGAAACGGTGCTAGACCCTGAAAGTGGCTGCGAACTCAGGCGAGAACAAGGCTCCGTCCTCCGTGGACTTCCCTCCCAGGGGGTGATGAAAATCAACCAGGAAACAGAGAAAAGAATTAAATTATGGGGTCTGTATGAGCACTCAGAAGGAAATCCCATTTTTCAGTCTGGCAGCGCCAGTCCCCAGTCCCGCTCCTGGCCTTGGGGAGTGGGCAGGGACACGCCCCCCACCATCAAACTGAAAGTTTAGAAGAGGAAGCCCCAGGACAGGGGGCATAGAGGCCTCTGGTCTTGCAACAATGGCAATTCCCCAGCCACACAGAAGAACCGCTTCCCGTCGCTGACCCGTGCACAGGTCACCCTGTCCTTGGTTCCCCGGGAACCGCACTGACACCAGATTTACATTCAAAACCCCCTGGCGGCTTGATTTCTGACATGACTTCGGGAGGGCAAAGTCTGCCTGGCAGTGTTTGGACAACTTATCTTGAATATTTTATCTTCAGGGAGATTTGTTTTTCGGGGGCAAAATTTCTTCGAGGAGCCAAAGAAGTCTCCGGATTAAAAAAAAGACATGAGTCTCCACCCCTCCCCGGGGCCTCTAACCCCACCTGCACCTGCTAGACCACCAGCTAGCAGGAAGATGGGGGCAGGGACGGCCTCTTGCCGTGAGCCTGACTTGGGGACTGTCCCATGAGCCGACCCTCACTGGCTGCACCTCCGAATCCTGAAGCTGGATTCCCGTCCACGGTATCGACCAGCCCTAGTGACAACCGGGAAGAGGCCAGAGATCGTTACCCCCATTTTGAGAAGCGCTTACACACAGCTGCTGGACTCGAAGCCCAGTGTCCCCTTCGTTGTCATGGTGTTTCCCAACCTCCCATCTTCCAAGTCCTCCATCAGACCTTCGACGGATCCCTTTGCCACCAGTAGCCATTCATTAGTAGTATTCTCTTAAAGGTGGCCCACTGTTTTTCCTTAGCTGCAATACCTTGGCCTCAGAACGAAACTTGATTTCCCTGCCCTAGTTGGAAATCTGGTTTCACTTACCATAAATGGGAGGCAGCCATAAAAATGAAGGCAAGGAAGTGTTATCACATCCCAGCTAGAAGGCTGTTGCCCGCTGGAGGCTCCGAGCCTGAGGCCTGATCTGTCTTGGTGACAAGGGAGGGTAGCAAGTGTCAGAGGTGTTGAAGACCTCCGCACGGGGGCTTTCTCCTGGAGGGACTGAGGCAGGATTGAGAACGTGATGAACTCCTTGCCATGAGGGCGCCATGGCCCGTGTCTCTTGGAGGCGGTAGCCCACCTGCAGGGTGTACCTTGCTCTTGGGAAACCTGTGCGCAGAGCAGAGGCTTCACCCCTGCTGCCCCCCAGGCTGGTTCTCCCTGGGCACCACCCCTGCAGTCACCCCCTGCGGTCCCAGAGGCCGTCCTTTGCAGGTCTTCTTGTCTCTGCCTCCTCACTGTGAGGTCACAAGCGCCATCTCAGCCCGCTCACACCTCAGCACAGGGACCCTCTTCCCGCCCACCCGCTGCCTTTCCAGGCAGCCCCCAGAGCTCCGCCATGTTGCCACAGCCCCTCCGAAGCGCTCCCTCTGCTTCCCGTTGGCCTCCCTCAATCTAGTCCCGGGTGCCGTCTAGAGCCCAGATCTGATCATGCCACATCACTGCTGAAAACCTGTCCCTCCTCCCTCGAGGGGCCACGGGGTCCTGCCTGCCCACACATCTCCCAGCCTCATTTCTTACCACTTCCTCACAGCCCTAGGATGCCGCCATGTTGGACTTCTTCATTCCCTTACAGGCTCTCCCTTGACTTTGTAACTTCGTAAACAATGTTCCGTCTGCTTACCCACACGTTCTACCCGTCTCGTGTAAATGTCACTCTCCCTGGGCAGCCTCTCCTCATCTCCCTTGAGGCAGTCCCCCCACCCTGACCCCGGGGGCTCAACGGCCCTGTGTTTCTCCCCTCCCTCCCGCTCCGTAGGAATTGCTCTGGTGCAGCGCCCAGCACAGGACCAGAAGTGTGCAAAGCCACAGAAACGCTTGTTGATTGAATGGAGGGTTATAGATTCCCTGCACACATCAATCTCTGCCTCTGTCTACACCTGACTAAATTCTGCCCCTCCCAGCCTTGCTGTTCTAGGTCAGTTCCCGCCTCTTCCATGAAGTCAACCCTGATCACTCTAGCCCAGACAGAATTCTCTTCTGTTAAACCCCCACAACATCTGCGTAGTTGTTGAAAGAGCGAACGAATGAATGAATGAGACGTGTTATAAAAGGGAGTGAGAAAACAATGTCATTTAAAACGCAAGCTCACTATAATGACTTGTGTTTTCTAAGAAGGAAAGTATCATTCCTATCAGTGGAAAAATAAATCTTGAAACTATTTACCTCTTTGGAGAGGCTGGTGGGAGAGGACAGACAACAGGCCGAAATCATATGGCCTTTTTTTGCTTTGTTTTTGTATTTTCTTTGCAGTAAAGCTGAAGTCCTAAGAAGAAGGCCTCTTTTATAAAAGTACGTGGTTCAGGGGGAATAAACCATAGCCGCACAGGGTATAAAAGCCAAAAGGCAGACGGTGCTTCCTTAGCACACCGCATTAATGAATCTTGGAGTGTGCGAGGAGGTAGGGATATGTGAATGTGGAGAATCCACTGTTCCCAATGATACAGTGAGAAAAACTGCATTCCTGGGGGAGCCTCGGGGGGAGAAAAGTAGACTCGGAGAGCAATGGAGCCAAGCTCTCAAATGGAGTTCCAAAGTCCATAAAGGCGGTGCAGTCAGGAGGTCTTAGGGCTGGGTGGCCTGGGGGCCTCCAGGCCCGGAGCTGGCCAGGACCGACATTACTATTGTTGGCCACGCCAACGTATCGTATCATAGAGTTGGCTGCACTCAAAGCCCTGGAGGGAGAGATTCGGGGTCAAACAAGGAAAGATAGCCTGAATTGCCTGGAATTCAAACAGCCTCAGAAAGAGCAGGAACCCAGGGCCCGGGGACTTGGGGATGACAGAGGCCCCTGGGAATTTGTGGAAACCTTGAGAGGGCATCACACTTTTCACAGAGGAGGGATAGGGCCCCAGCTAATTGTATTTAATTTCAAAGGACACATGACCTCAGCTAACATTAGAATTACGAAGGACCCTGCTTTTATATTATCTTTTTTGTTTACTAACACTGTATTCCTGACTAGACTATAGGCTGTCTGAGGTCAGGGGCTGGGTCTCCTTTGTTCTGTTCCACCCCCCACGGCCCCGCCAGTAACAGTGAGGTGAGCACTGAATCCATTTTGGTTGGGGGGAGAGCGGTTCATGATATCCACAGTGAGGGAGGATTATGATTGAATAATTCCTATCTAACCCCCCCCATACCTGGAAACAGCCAGGGGCGAATGAAACCCCTACCTGGGCTGCCAGGAACCCTGAGCCCTATCCTGGCCCCCACTACCAATGTGTAGCTTGGGGCAACCTTGGGGAAAAGCCCTTGACTAACTAACTCAGCTTTTAACTAACACACCCTTCAATCAACAAGTCAAGGAACCACAAAGCAATCTTTATGGCGGTCATTCTAGCTGGATTGCAGAAAGTACAAATAAGCCCGTTTCTAAAGAATTCCCAAACTGTTCAGATACGAAGGTTGTAATGGGCAGAGACTGGCATCCGCGGGGGAACACGGGCAAAGCAAGGTTGCCAGAGGCCTTTGTGACTGTGTTTCTGCGGCTCTAGGTCTGGAACCAGCTCCAAGTCAAATATATGTACAAAGAGGAGGCTCGAACCCCACCTCGCTGGGCAGGTCTGGCCGTCTCTCAGCCTCCACTGGAGAGATAAGGAAGCAAAGACAGAGAGGTTAATATAGTCATGTGAACATCAATAGGTTAGTGAAGAATTAACCCTATTAGGCCAACACAGAATTCCTGACTTCTTCAAACCACCAGGTTACTGAATTTCTGCCAAACTGAGGTTTCCACTACCTTCCGGAAGGGCTTGTGATCAGACCAGACAGTCTTCAGCTTGGCACTCTGACACTCTTCGGTTTGTTTGTTTGTTTTTATGTTTATTTCTTTTTGAGACAGAGCATGAGTGGGGGAGGGGCAGAGAGAGAGGGAGACAGAGTCCGAAGCAGGCTCCGGGCTCTGAGCGGTCAGCAGAGAACCCGACGCAGGGCTCAAGCCCACGAACCATGACATCATGACTAGAGCCGAGTCGGGCACTTAACCAACTGAGCCACCCAGGCGCCCCTTGATATTGTTCAGTTTAGATTTTTGGTTTTAATTATTGCATGCACCAGAATGCTCATGGCAAGTATGGATATGGCATTGTGCTGAGCCCCAATTTCCATCGCAGCCCTGGGAAGCTGGTGTGCTGGAAATACTAACAGCCAGTAAGTAAGCCCAGCCTGCTGCCCAGTGGCTACATTTCAGCATTGCTTTGTTGCTATCACTCGTCACATATCCTGAAATACCGAGGAGGTAGTGTAAAAACAAAAAACAAAAAAGCAACCAAAAAAGAAATCTTTGATGGTTTCTTGAAAAATAAGCCAACCTGTGTTGGTGATAGAAGGGAAGAATAAGAGAAGTGCAAGTTCATGCTGGTCCCTAAGCCAGAAAAGAGAAGTTCTGGATAAACTGCAGAATAGAAGATTGGACCCAATGGGGGCTCAGATCCCAAAAGTGACAAAGTTCACCTTCTCTAAATGGTAACTTTATTTTTTTTATTTGTTTATTTTGAAAGAAAGAGCACAAGCGGGGTAGGGGCAGAGAGAAGGAGAGACAGAATCCAAGCAGGCTTCACACCATCAGCCCACCAGCACAGAGGCTGAGAGGGGTGAGATCATGACCTGAGCTGAGATCAAGAGTCAGACACTTAAGGGACTGAGCCACCCAGGCGCCCCTCTAAATAGTCACTTTAAAAAACAATTTATAGGGGCGCCCGGGTGGCTTAGTCGGTTAAGCGTCCGACTTTCGCTTAGGTCATGATCTCGCGGTTCGTGGGTTCGAGCCCCGCGTCGGGCTCTGTGCTGACTGCCAGCTCAGAGCCTGGAGCCTGTTTCAGAGTCTTTGACTTCCTCTCTCTCTCTGACCCTCCCCTGCTCACACTGTCTCTCTCTCCTAGACAAAAAAAAAAAAAAAAAAAAAAAATTTATAAAACTGGTTCAAGAAATCACCAGAGACAACAATGACAGCACTACCCAAACAATTCTAAAGTAAGCAAGAGAAGAAACTGGAGAGAATTTGAAAACGCATTTGATGTGTAGACGCAAACCTTGATGGAAATGGGGAGTAATGCAAATACTCGAGCAGACTGCCACACGTACAAATGTAGGGCTTGCAAAAGTTTCCAGCTGTGAGTATGCAGGAGACTGGATGTCTCATGGGAGGTCTGGCCTCACCCCATGAACTTGCACATCCTTCAATTTTACCCCCACTCCCTTCCCAGCTATATTGAGATGTCATGGTGGCATGCCACCTAGTGGTAAAAATGATTACTGCAAGTAATTGCAGTGAGGTTTTGGGTTTTTTTTTTTTCAATTATTCTTTTTTTTTCTTTCTCTCTCTCTTAAGTGTATTTATTTATTTTGAGAGTGCATGAGACAGGGAGAGTGCCAGCGGGGAAGTGACAGAGAGTGAAGGAGAGAGAGAATCGGTGCAGAGCCCAAAGTGGGGCTCCATCTCACTAACCGTGAGATCATGACCTGAGCCGAAATCAAGTCTGACACTTAGCCGACTGAGCCACCCACGCGCCCCTGAGCTTTCTGTTTTGATTTCATTACATCTTCGTTCATTTACTTATTCGTTCAGTGTGTTGCTGTTGTGTGCCTGACGCTGAGAATATAATAGAGAACAGTATCGATACAGTCTTTCCTTCAGGGACCACATAGTCTGGTGAGAGGACACATAAACTACAAGTGTAAGATCATCACATCCTGCAGGCAGCTTAACAGAGCACTGTCAGGGGGCACGTAAGCTAGATTGGATGGTCAGAGAAGACTTTCCAGAGGAAACGTAACCAAACTTGGGACCTATAGGATGAGTAGAGGCTTGTTAAGCAAAGGAGAGCAAGGGAAGAGATAGCCTTCCAGCTAGAGGGGACCGCGTGCCTAAAAGCTGGGTGTCAAGAGCACACCCAGCTCACGCTGGGCTTTAAGCTTTGTTTGAACTTTGATTTGCACCTCTAAGAGCAGCGAGAGCCGTTTCTTTTCAGGGGGAAAAATTAAGAAACGCCATCGAATTTTAATTTCCCCTCGTCCCTGGCTTACACCTTTCCCTCTTAAAGTCCGTAGCCTCACACCAACCTCATGCACCACACACGCACCCCTGTTCTTCAATTTTTTTTTGTTTACCACCCAGGCATGAGTTGCTCATCCCACATGCCCTTGATCTCTTGTTTCCTTCTGTTAGCAAAGAAGCTTGTCTTGCACCGTAA